TATATATATAACTGAAATTATTTCGAACGTGAAGATTTAAAACAGCATTATCAAAAGGTCAGTCATAAAAAGAATGACATTATAACAAAAATGTTGAATATATTAACCTGATGAATTCTTGATCATATATAGGATATAGATTTTTCAACAATCGTTAACGTTATTACCAGACATGTGAGGTGCTACCCATCCTTCGACTTTCTTAGATGGTACTTTGATGACCTGATCTGCGACCCAGATGCCATCCTTTTTGTAAAACCGATAGACCATCGAATTTACTGCACAACCAACGTATCCCTCGCAGCTCAAAGGGTCGTGAAGAAAACGAACTTCAAGTGGAGCTACGCCATCTTTCCCCAAGTTGATGACCTGTTGAAGTGTTCTATCCTTCCATGAGTAAAAGTTCAAACTTCGTCCGTAAACCTCTGTTTGAAGAAGCAATTTTTAGTCAATGTTAGTACTTTGTACGTCATTGGTTGGATTTGCGTAGGTGTTAAACATTATTATATTACTTAGAATAAACTGTTACCATCTAAGAACTGTTTAACCATTCCCTGAAAGTAGTTCTCTAAAGGACCTACCCCATTTACCAATTAAAGTGATACCTTCACTTTTAATACAAACTTATGATTTTAGGTGCTTGATTTCATGGTGATGTTAATTTATTATTGTTTTAAATGTTTATCAGGTAATTACACTTATTGCAACATAAGACCCCCATAAGCGTAGCCCATAGTGTGAATTTACAGCAGAACCCATTCACATTACTTAGATGTTTTAAGGACGTTTGGGAGAAAAGTTCAAAATGTAAAATCGTGCCAAAAAAATGATATTGTTACGTACGATAGCATTTAGCTATGCGTGCGTGCGCCTCTGCTGGCTAGGGCCCGAAAGGTAGGGGAATAGAGAAGAGAGATGATAGGAAAGGTAGAGAGAAGGGACAGGGAGATCAGCTAGAGACGCGAGAGGGTAAGGACGAAGTCCGCGAAACGATAATACATGCACAACTTCCCTCAATGATAAGTAATTCTAATAAAGCATAAGTAACAACAAGTCACGCTTCTATTTATTCCCGCACCGAGAATCCCACGTAACAGCTGGTGTCAGAAGTGGGATACAGATAAAATTTTTTTACGGTCTGTCGCGTGTGCGGAAATCACTTAGTCTCGCGGAACAAAAAAAAAAAATT